GGTCCTATTTAGACCTAGACTTATTCTAGAGAACCTGCGTTTGAGGTTCATAAGGCTGTTCATGGAGAACTTGTAGTCCAGGGCTTGAGACTCAAGAAAAGCGCAAAGCCAACATTCTCCAATTGATCTGACAAATAGGTGATCCTGAATAGGTGCACAAGAGATGAGGGGGCATAGTAGAAACCCTGGAGTTACCTCTGCTACCCTAACAATTGAGTTACAAAATTAAATTGGCAGGCATCCTTGAATTCTGGCACAAACAATTTATGAACATGGAAATTAGTGCAGTAGGATGTTAACCGAGGCCTTGAAAAAGAGCTGACACTGTACGTACAGATTACTACCTCTTCTGAAGACCCAGTGATATGGATCCCACATATAGCCCAAGAATTTAGGGACCCTTGTCAGGACCTGTATTATATTAGGACCATATGAATGCCTGAAGCTAGTTAAAGGGGTTCTAAACCCTCCGTTTTTTTTTGCTTATATCTACTGCTAGCATGCAGTAGATATAGGCAAGAAGTGTAAAAAAAAAAAACCTTTAAAATCATTTTAAACTTACCTCGTTATCGCCGCTCGCTCCCGCGCCGAGAATCAGGAACTGCTCGTACGGTCGCAAAGCATCTTGGGGCGGGCGCATGCGCAGTTCCGATTCTCGGCCGGGAGACTAGCAGAGACGCAAGGTAAGTCTATGGACGCGTGCACCCGCCTGCAGACACCGCTGGATCGGAGAGACAGAGCAGTCAGCGCTGGATCGGAGTGACGTCACACCGCTGGTGGGACAGATGAAAACATGGGGAAAGAAGAGGAAGATCGGAAAAAGAGACATCATTTAAGGTAAGTGCTAACATTTACATGGGGGGGAGGGAAATTTTTTTTTGCCATTTAATAATGTCACTTTAAGACATCAACAATTTGAGTGCTTGGATGGGAAGTGTCCTTCCCAAAACTAAAGATAGGAATTTCAAAAGGTTTGAACAAGAGGTCACTGTAGGATAGATGGCTAAGACTTTGAAGGCAGTGACCACTAGGAAAAGTCCAGGACCTGATGCTCTTGAACATATTGCTCAAAATTCCCAGATCTGTTGCACAATCCTTTTGTATGTGCATATTTCAGTTCTATTCACGAGGAAGAGCATATGCCACCTAAGGCAATATTTGTGTATGTTGTGTCCCTAAGTCAGGGTAAAGACCTCACAGAATTTCAAAACTACAAGCCAATATACCTTGGGTCCTGGTTGGCATTATACCTCAGAGGGAGGCCAGGGATAATTCCTAATGATCTCTGCAGCTCATTTTGGTATGGACAAGGGCCATCCCATGCATAACTCTATCAGTTGATGCTGAAAAAGCATAGATTGGCTTTTTAAGGATTGAAGTCTTGCAGCGTTTGGTCCTAGGGGAAAAGATTATTTGTTGAATAGAAACTTTGTATAGCCAACCTATGCAAGGTAAAATCACTCTTTATGGCCCCTATTCTAGATTCAAAATGGTACAAAAAAGGGGTGTACCCTGCAATTTCCCCGCCCCCCTGAATCTTTGCTCTTGTGCTGGAGGCCTGTTTTTAAAAATTGAAAGATTCAGATATTACATGTCTGTATTGGCTCCATACACCATACAGTTGCTGCCTTTTGCAGATGATCTTTTGGGACTAGATCCTGCTCTCTACAATATCATGGCTGAGCTATCCAGATTCTTTGATCTTTTCTAATTGTAAGGATTAATTTAAGTACGTCAGAAATTTTGGCAGTTAGAATAATCCCCTTGCTAGTTCAAAAATTGTTTTCCCCTTCTCCTAGCAGAAGTATTCTATTAGCTATTTTAGCCAATACAATTTTAAGTGCTTTTCCTACCCTATAGTTTTAATTTTCCTGCTCTTTTGAAGGATGCACAAAAAGACTTATGCCAGCAGCAGGATACTTTTTTCTTTTTTTTCTTTCTCTCTAAATTGTTTTTTCCTTCAGACCTTTTTTTTGTGAAGAAATCAGAGCCAAAATTGCCTATTCTGTCCTGAGGAGATCTAAATATTTGGGTGGTTTGTGTCTGTCAGACCTCCACATGTATTATAAAGCCAGAACACTGCTTAGGACAGTGAATTGGAACTCGGGAGTGAGGAATAAACAATTGTCCCTACTCGAAAAGATGATGGATGGCCATAAAGCAACACGTGCCTTGGTTTGCCATGAAGTATAGGGGCCTCTCTGTGCACACTTGCCCACTTACACATGCAACATTGTGAGTGTGGGATGGAACTAATACTAGATATTCCTTAGCACAGGCTTCTATGGATCTGTTTTTTTTTTGTGGTTTAGAGCAGGGGAGGATTTGGAATTTTTTGAAAAATAGGAGGCAGAGATGTTCGATTTTGTAGCAAATTTATTATAAATAGGAAGCTAAAGCCTTTGGGACAGTTGAGATGAATGAGGCTTATTCTTGATGGGCACAAGGAGGTGATCCCAACTGCAACACTTTTTACAGGGCTTGGGGGAGGGGGGTTCCTGTAGGGCAGTAGTTTCAGATTTTGAAAAAGTATGCCTTTTAAAAACACCCATATTTTTTTAAGCCTTGTCATTCTCCTTTTTTAAAGTACCTTTTTGGCTTAGTCACAAAAGGATCCCTGCTTTGAGAGATATCTTAAGGTTGCTTTGATGGAGATCCAAAAAGCTAAAGCATCTAGGTTGGCATATGTTCTCGAAGTTCTAAAATAGAGAAGTGCTATAAATTGTACTTGAGATGGTAGAGTGCCAGCTCGTTAAGCAGTCCGGTATCCTGGTGTCTCAGATGGCTGTTGGAGAGGATGTGGGTTGTGGGGGATATTTCTCCACCTTTGGTGGGACCATGTGGCACTAAAACCTTTTTGGATAAGGGTATACAATATTTTGAACCAGCACTTTCATCTCCAAGTCAGTTACCAATGCTATTTCATGAGACTCCTACTTTTATTAAACTAAACAGAATGTTAAGCGAAAAGCAGACATATCGGTTCCTGGACCAGTATACTTTCGTATAATATGTGGGTGATCTGCTTACACTTCATATCCACAGAGAAATTAATGGAACTCCATACACCAGTATTGACTATATATTTTGACCCTATATTTTGATGTAGCTTAAAGAAGGTATCCATAGGTGATGAGAACACACATTAGTTGGGTTCTACTGGAGTATATATTAGGTTCATAAACAAAATCGAAAATCCATGGCTGGTTGTAAGGGATAGTTTAGGACCAAAACTGGTCACGAAACGTACAGGCTCAATTTAACATAGCTGTAGAACTGTTCTCTATAAATGTTTCTTGTAGATTTTAAATGGCCAAAACCGTGTGGATTTTCATTGTATTAATAATCTGGATATTATCTTGTATGGAGTGACATTGTTGCAAAATATGCATACTGCACAGTATTTCATGTTTTTTTTTCTATTGGTACATGTCCATGTCCTCTATGCTAGTACCTAGCTACTCATGCTCGTTTTTTTTCTTCTTTGCATGTCACTATTTGGATCATCTGGCTTTTTGTCTGCTTTTTAGGGGCGCCAGAAAAATTTTGGTTTTAGACTTAGTTGAGCACAGAAGGGAAAGGAAGGTTTTTTTTTAAAATATAATCCTTTAGGATCTCCTTGATGATTAAGATTGTGATGCAAGACTATATAAACTCAATTGATTCACTTTTGTAGGTGTCTGAATCCATTTTCCAATGTTTCAGCTCCATAGCTTTTGCCACATTGTATATCTTACTGGATGCTGGTGAGGCAAGTGAGATTTGTAGCAGTTTTGATAGTTTGGTATTAAGTTCCCCAGTTCTACTGCAGCTTGACCAAATGTATATGATTTTATATATTTATATTTTTCTGAATGTGGGAATAGTCATAAGATGAAAATGTTACATTATTCTGTTGCTTTTGAATCTATGCCTATTTTTCAATTTATGGAGGCTTTAGGTTATTTTAAATCCCCTATCCAATAAGCTATACCTCTTCTTTTTTTTTTTTAAAACACCACTGCAAGGAAATTAATTTGTGGAAGATGCAATGTTGTAGTACTATGGTGAATGTTTTCAATTTTTATGCCCTTTGTTGGATCCTTTCTGCTGCTCTCCTGGATGCTCCCCACTTGAAGCATGTATGACAGTGGCACAATTATGTCACCCCATAACTGGCAGTGCCTGCACAAGAGCCTTGATTATAGCATAACCAGCTCTATATTAAACATACAAATTCTCACTGTTCAGGGCTCTGTTGGTCACTGGGTGGCAATAAGGTGTATTAAACGTGGTCCTCAGTCTCCTCCATTGGCTCCAGCAGTCTAAGGACCCGTGATGTCATCACATCTAATACAGGTCTATTAGATGTGATGACTCCGAGGGATATACCACAGCCAGAGCGAAAGAGTAAGGAGGTGAGCAGCCACTGCCGCAGAACCAATGATCAGGTGAGTATGTTCGCCCCTAGAGAAAAATGAACATTAACCATTGCAGTGTGGGGGAATCCCCACTGCAAGGGCTATTTTTTAAAAATCCTGGAATTCCAAACTATAATTTCCTGTGACCTTGTGAAAGTTATTCCTGCAAATTATTAACGCTGCAAAATAGTGAGATTTATGAATGACAAATCTGCTAGTGACCATTGCATGAACTGTTGAAGGAAGTTACTGGGTAACTCTTTGACAGTTGTGCTTTCACATACTGCAAACACGAACTCTAATCTTCAATAGAAAATCAATATCACACGAGTAATCCAGGCCAACGAATGTAAATGCAGCCTGTACTTTGTTTGCTGTAACACCATGCTACATGACACTATCCTTAATGACAACACAGACTGCAGAGGGGAAGACAGACTGAATGGGGAACTTTAAGAAATTACTAATTGAAATAAACTGTTTCACCTCATACCTAGTATGAAGTTTTCCTATAATAAAAAAAAATGTACCTTGAAAAAAGTTGTGGATATGTTTTTTTAATCCAATGCTAGGTTTAATTGGTCTGTTTTTTATGTATAGGATGGCCTCAGAGACCTATTTATTGATGGAGTAGTTTCCAGGAACAGAGCGCTGAATGGTGATGTGGTGGTTGTGAAGCTGCTCCCTAAAGACAAATGGAAGGTTAGTACTGAAATACACATCTATGACTGTACTGTGCCTTGAAAGTTGAAATAAACAAACCAGCCGCTAATCAGCTGACCTGTTTCACTTGAGTGGATTTAAAATCTTCCTGGATAGCCTGTTGCCCATCATCCTATTTTAAATACTTTCTTTTTCTCCTGTGTGTGAATGTATTTAAGAGCAACGCTCACCAAAATTTGACTTCTCATCACGTTGAACAACAGTACAATTTTAGTTTAACCACTTCAAGACCAGGTGTTTAGACCCCCTTCCTGGCCAGGCCATTTTTCAGTGTTCAGCGCTGCGGTACTTTGACTGACGTTTATTCCGTCATGCAACGCTGTACTGAAATGAATTTTACACCATTTTTTGGGGACAGATAGAGCTTTATTTTGGTGGTATTTAATCACCACTGGGGGTTTTGTTTTTTATTATAATTAGGAAAAATTACTGAAAATTTTGAAAACTTTTTTAACATTGTTAGGAAACATTTATTATTACCCAGTTTTTTGGTCAAATATAAAAGATCGGGTCACGTCGGTTAAAATTTATGTGTTACTTTTGGGGGGGACTTTAATTTTTTTTTTCCTCTAAACTTTATTGCTATCACATACGGGGGCTAATAAAAGTGGTGGGCACAGCTGGTCCTGCCTCTAGATAGACACAGCCCGCTGTGTCAATCAGCCAGCTTGGTGGATCAACAGTATTGTCAGCATCCATCCCAGCTGCGGCGCTCTCAGTATATAGCAGGCTATTGCTCGCTATATACTGAGCTTTGGGTCACTGGAGGACGTTAGTATATATCCTCACGTGACCCTAAAGAGAACTATGGGATAAAAAGGTCACCCCATAGTTCTCTTTTAAAACTCAGATATTTTGCAGGTTTTGTATGCTCTTTGCATCACTATTTTTACCTGCAATGACTTATTGAGTTTGTGTATAATTTGTACAACGTGTATCTACTATAAAACTAGCCTGGCATGCTTTCTGCAATACCTTTTTTTTTTTTACCTGTAATTGAGGTTTGCTGAGATGCCACTTATGACTTGCATGGATGGTATATATTTAGATGAACTTTAGCATGGTTTCTTGGGATGTTTTCAACCCATTCATGTGGCGGTTGTGCCATTCTGAGTTCTCCTAATGATGCACATTTTGTACCAACGTAATGCGTTGCCAGTTTTGTGGTTTCTTGCTATGAATGGATTTTTGGTAACAGATTTCGGACTCTTGGATGTATATTTGAACTTTTTTATTAGTCTGTATATACATAATCTTACATATGAGTTTTGGCTAAGTAGAGCTAGAGGGACCCAGCAGGTCCACCCACTACAGACATCTTACATATAACTACAAGAAAGGGGTGGATACAAGACCAGCCACTATGAACAAGGTGAGAACAGCAGTGACTGGTCTTTATGAAAGCTCCTGCACAGAGCCAAAGTTTCACACTGGATTACTGCGCAGACTTGGAAGAAATAAACAAAGCACGCCAAGATTCAAATAAGAATACACATGGCTCTTGTATTTAGACTGCTCTTTTTGGAGTTTAGCTTTAACTTGCTGTATATACAACAGGAATGACTGCATTGTCTATTCAATTAATGCCTTCTCCTTTTTAAATAGTATTCATAAACTCTATATCTGCTAATAGAAAAATCTCACAATACCTGGCAATGCATGAAAGGGAACAACACAATGCAAGTCTGTCAGTGAGCTTTTAGCAGATTACTATAGACTATGCTATGCTAGGAAGTTTCGTATGTCCTTGTAGAGCAATGATGTGAGGCTTGTTGGAGCCATCAGTGTTCCTTATTGCTTTTGTATTGTCTTTTTATCATTCGGTTATAAGGTTCTGACAGCATTTGTTATGACTGAGTAGAAGTCTAATTACTATTTGTTACCGTGAGGTATTTGTTTTTGAGCACGGACCGGCTTAGGAGCACATCCTCACTTAGGCACATGGGACAATGTGATCTGTAATGGCTGAATGCTATACATGCTTCATTTCCTTTTTAATGCTGCTTCTGCTGGTGGAAGAGTTAAGGTTAAGCCATGTTCTATAAATAAAGCAGTATTTTTTTTTTTCTTAACAGATTTTCTTTATACTGTATCTGAACTCATAAAAGTTGGTGTCTTGCATTCATGGTGTTTTAATAGTTGTATAAACTCTCAGTGCTGTTTGGTTTTGAAGACTTACATGCACAGTTCTGCACAGGCTCTGCTAGGTTATGCTTGTTGAACGTATGCCTACTTTACGTCTATAGCATCGCTTTCACGTAAGCACTTGATTCTTTATATCGCGGAGAGACCAATGAGTATGTCACATGTATGACATCTTAAGTAAACACTGTAACTTGTTGTAAACATTTGTTTTATTTCTCTTTAAATGGCACCCAATGACTTTGCATTTCTTTCTATGTCTTGAGTATAATGCTCATGATTTTTCTTCTCAGCATTTTGTGAGATAATCTCAACAGCTTTTATAGGCTTTTTTTTTTTTGGGTTGGTGCATCAGAATAAACTGAAGCCAGTGGATCAGTATAACAATCTAGCTTTAGGAGGACATAGCCTTTAGGAGAAATACCCCCCCCTACCAATGCGTGCAGAGGACACAATAAGTGGCACCGTACCAAAGCCTAGAACATTCAGCACGTGTTGCTGCAAACATTAATATGAATGCGACCCTAAATTGAAGAGTTTCTATGTACATGTTCCCTTTTTTTTAAATGTGTGCATCAGTCTTTCATGCTAAGGTCAGTATAATTTGAAAACCTAAGTATTTCAGCCCATACACTGTTCTCTATCTTATCACAAATGCTTCCTAATACTTCCTGCCTGGATTTATATTGTTGTACTGAAGGGCTTGTGAAGAGAAGTGGCAGCATCTATTTTGCTATGTTCCCTTTGCTGTCATATGAAGCCATCATGTGTTTTTTCCCACGGGTGTTCTCCCAGCTGTGTTAGATAAGAGTAGGCCACCACACCTTCCTGGGACAAAGGAAAGGCAGGGACCAAAGATGATTTCCTTCAAAGGGACACATAGGCTCCAGAGCCCTTTTTCCTAGAATTACTGACAGGAAAACCCCTGCTGTAGTTCACACAGTATGGCAGAGTGCCCTGGACCAGTCGGTCATGCATCTTGAATTAAAGGAGCTTTTCAGTTGGGATAAAATTTTTCCACAAACTGTAATTTTTTTCCTTTGTACAAGATGTATATTGAAAGTAAACATGTGATGAAGAACCATCAACGCTGCAATTATGGTCTTACTCTTTGATTTGCCTGGCAGCCATACCTGATCATCTGGCTTCAGTGCTATAAGTCTGATCTACAACATGGTAGGAGCCACAGCCATTGGATAAAAGGCAGTCCCTATTTTCTCTCATTCAGAGTCATTGGCACAGTGGATATTGATGCAATTTTGTCAGCATGCCTCCCATGCAAGGAGAAGTCTATAATGGCAGCCTCTCTTTCTCAGTGTTGGCATTGTTTTAAAGTTAAAAGTTGTCCCCAGCTAAAGTGCAGAGAAAAGCAGTCGTCCACATTTATGCATGTGGAAGTGTTTCCTTTAAAGTCCGTTTTAGATCCTGTAAAATGGCTAGTTTTTCTTTCCCACATATATTGTTTCAGTACCGTATATACTCGAGTATAAGCCGAGATTTTCAGCCCATTTTTTTGGGTGAAAAGTGCCCCCCTCGGCTTATACTCGAGTCAGCGCCAGCGCGTCATCTTACTTACCTCGCCGAGCGTCGCGTCACTGCTGCTCGGTGTGCGGCGCTCCGAGCGGGGTCATCTGGCAGTCTCCGGGTCCTAATTTAGGGGGCAGGCACCTCTGAGCCAGCTAAATTAGGACCCCACCTGGAGCTCCTCTCGTCTGATCAGCGCGCCGCTGACTCGTCCCTGCTCTCTCCGTGATGTGATGATCCGATCACCGGCACACAGTGAGTGAGGGGAGGGGAGGGACGAGTATATACGGTAACTTTATAGAACAATACTTTCCACTTGAGAAATACAAACTCTGGTACGTAACCATTTGCTTGGCATATGTAGTATTGCTTTGAGATTAAACCTAATTCTTTGTGTGTGTATTGTTATATTTTTAAAACTCTATCTGTTTTGTATTTGTCTTGTAGTGCAAATCTTATGTACATGTTGAGGAAACTTGTTGCACATGTTACGATACCAAAAGAAAAATGATGCAAGGAACACTTGTGCAAGATTGTATCATGTGTAAATCCAGCTTGTTCTGTTGGCATGTAATCTATCAGATCTCAGTTTTAAGTTCCGAGTCAAGTCTTTGCCACCTGATTCCCCCATGAATAATCCTCTAAATAATCCTTTTTTAAGGCTTTATTGTTTAAAGATCCTTGAATTTTTCAGGCATCACTTTTCTTTTGAAGCAAGTGTAAAACAACATTTTATATGTATTCTGATGTAGGTTATGGTGCCTGCTATGGCAGTAGGTTGTCCTTGAGAATTCTGAGTGTAGAATTTCACAAGTTTGTACTGCACTGTAATATCCCTGTTGCTATCCCAAGTTTATCTGGTCACTCAGCAGGTGCCACGGTTACAGTTACACTAAGCAAGCCAATCTATTAGCAGGTTTCTCTTGGTGCCAACTCTGCTTGGGTGTAACAGTCTCCTGGTGACCTGTAGCTTTCCTGTTTGCTGCTAGTAGTGATAATGAAGAAATGACGGACCTCTGCATGGAAATGCTACCCAGTGAAAGTTTATGGTTAATGGCCTGTCATGTCCTTGAAATGCCCATAAAAATCTCCTCCTGAATTCACATATAGTTGATTTTGGAATATTTCCTGCCATTTCCCTATTTCTGTGTGTAGGGAATGTTCCATTGTCATAAAAGCTGCTATAGGAACAAACATGCACACAAACTCTGGTATATTCAACAAGGCAGCAATCCCTAACCACCACTCTTAAATCTTTACTGATCTTTCTGTAGTAAACAGATTTTTTGCATTGGTTTTTGCACTTTGCGGATCATCTATAAATGAGAACATACTAGGAAACCTTTAAACTTGCCAAAGAAAAATGTTATCAATTTTAAAGATTAATTTTCCAAACTAAGTTTGGCCTTATCCATTCATATAAATCTTTCTGACCTTCCTGAAAATCCAAGGGAATTGAGTTTTTTTTGTTTTAGCTATTATGAAGTTAAAGTGGACCTTTTTAGTAACTAAACACGCCTGCATGAATCCATTTCTGAAATGTCCCAATATACAACAGTCTTTTTTATTTATTTCTAAATTGCGGTACTGTTTAATGTCTTTCATTTACAAATAGACTCAAAAGACTATCTAATTTTTCCCATAAGATATCCGGTAGTGGTGGCTAGGGATGTCTGCAAGGTCTTGAGAGGAAACCTGCTGATTCCTTGAAGAAAGGGTTGGGTCCAGTAGTCCGCCTAGGACTAGTGATGAGCAAATTTGATGAGCAAGAGTTAGAAATCTAAATCTATACATGACAAACTTTAGGATTCACCTGAACATATACATGGAGGTTTTTTCCAGTCTTCATAGGATCCTGTTCATGAATCCCGTTTTGCTGGTTTTCTCAACTGCACGATTCTCTGTAGATTAGACAATCCACATGCAGATGTTCAGGAGACTCTTAGGGGGTGATTTACTAACCTAAACACACGCACGCACCAGGTGCGTGTGATTTTCACACAGCAAAACGTATTTATCAACCAAAAAGTCTCAAAGCATATTTCCACCAATGCCATATATGGAAAAATCATGCACATGTTGCATATATAATGCTGCTTCACAGTTTAGACAAAAATGGTTAGCTCATGCATTTACATTCCTGCATTCATCAACGCAAGCAACACAACATAGAGCTAATTTACACAACATCACCTTGCAATTCATGCTTGGCTTTGCACAACACACCTGCTGGGTGTGTACACACTACAAAGGTGTTTAGATTCCACCCATAAATCATGCTGGGAACACACTACAGAGGTGTATACCTGTTCGTGGTGTGTTTTATAAGGTTAGTAAATCAACCCCTTAGTCTTGGCCATTTGCTTTAATCATCTATCTATTGGACCGGACACCCTTAAGAGCTTAGAGATTTACTGTCATACTGTTAGTTTTACCTGGAGAAAAAAAGCTTATTACTGCAAAACATACACCCATTCCCTTTACTGTTCAGCTACAACTTGCTGAGGCGGAAGAGTGACTACTGTGGCAGTGAATGGCAATGTCACGGTGTAGTATGGCAACTTTGGCACCCAGGACTCTCAGCCAGAGGGGCTGAGAGGTTCAACAATATAATTACTTTGGAGAGGAGGAACTGGCTGTTCAATTCCTTCCAGGTTTTCCAGACTATAGTGGGATGGGATCTCCAGTCCTGGAGCCAGGTGTTGCCAGGTTGGGCTGAACAGGTGGCTGAGAGCAGCCTTATTAGGAAGCCAGCCCAGTGCTTTAGAGGAAAGTTGTGGGTGTGCAGGCACACTACGACAGGCAGACTCTGCTGCGTGCGTGAGCACAAGGGACACAGCCAGGAAGGCTGGAGAGGTCCAGGGGGTTGGTGACCTTGAGATACTGATCGGGGAGACAAAGACGGGTGACCCACGAGGGGTGAATACTAACAGGCCTTGAGCTGAGGAAAGCTGCCGAGGACTGTATTTCCAGTGAAAATCCTGGGACTATCACACTGAGTGTGTGGGACAGCCAGATGTCAGTTAGACCCAAACCATATTGTTGTGATGCAAGTCCAATGAACTGTTCTTTTTCGTTTATCATGGACTGTTGACCTTTTTGATGAAAAAAACAAAAATAAATATATATTGCAGCCTACTAAAATATAGTGGAGGTAAGCCGCCATATTAGTTTTTTTTTCCCCCTTTATTTTCACCTGGTAATTATGTGAATAGCACATTTCCTGTCTCTGGGTGACTACAGCCACTCCACGATCTGTGGAAGAACCTATGGTTGCCACCCAGGCTGGACTTAACACATTTGCCTTTCTTGTGGGTGATGGGATTAACAGTTTACACAAGATAACATTTGTATTTGCTTTTAGTTAATCTTATAGGAAGTGACAAGAATGCTACATTTCTGGAAAGTTCTCCTTCAGGTCCTCCTCTGCTGATTGACAGATGGCAGTGGGTGGATGCAATAGCAGGCTGGTTATTGCTGCTGGATAGGACACTTGTCGCTGGCTTTCTACCACTGGTAGTTGATCAGAAGATGGGGCACAGCGGCCCTTGGTGCATGCTGTAGCGGTCCCTGTCCCCTCCAATCCCTGCTACCTCGGTGCCAGGATGCAATTTCTAGTCACCCATGTCACCTGGCACCTGGGATTTGTCAAGCCCTGCAATCGACTACACACAAACTAACATTTTGCAACATGCAATGTGTAATGTTCTAATACACATTGGTGGAATTTACCAAAACTTTAAAAGACAGAATCTGGAGCAGTTGTCCATGGCAACCAATTGGCTTATATTTTTAGTTTGTTCAGTTAAAATGTTTAAATGTAAAGGTGCCCATACACCGTACGATTATCGGACCAAACTTTTCGTCCGATCGAACCGTCGTACGATTTTCGTACGACGGCCCCATCCTGCCCCGATTATCGCAAGGTTCAATCAGCCGTAGTTAGAAAAAAACACCTGGACGACTTGCGGTAATTGACCGCAATTATTTTCGTTTGCGCATGCGCAGTGTTAATCGTACGACTTTTGACGGACGGAAACGCCACCAACCATGCGAACATCGTACGATCAACCAAAGTTTTCAAACATGCTTGACCGTCAAAAGTCGTACGATTGTACAGTACTATCGGTCGGGCACTCTATTCACACGTTACGATTGTCGTACGAAAAGTCGATCGCATACGATTATCGTACGATAATCGTAAGGTGTATGGGCACCTTAAGAAGCTGATTAGTTACTATGCACAGCTGCTCCAGATTTTGTCTGCTCCAGTTTTGATAAATTCCCTTCTCTGTGCTTACTGTTGTGATGGTTCTAGATCCTAGAACTGGCCATACTGAATGAGAATGTTGTTGCATGATGCAAAATATAGTGGCGCAGTTGTGTGACCGTGTCTCTGTAAGTGTTGAAAATAGTCACATCAGAAGATCTTGGAGAGCTGGAGTCTGCAGAAAAAAATGTTATCTAATGCCCTATTGTTCTCTGCTGATTCAGCTGGCATTGCACTTGGAACCTTTCCTGACTTTTTCTGAACTGTGAACATCTATGCCACAAGAAGGGGGAATTTTTTCAAAATGATTATTACTGTGATGTATGGCTATTTAGAAAGGGCACATGTATTATACTTGGGCTTTAAATTTAGATTACAAGTGAATGTTGTATAACAGATTAGAGTGGTATAGTTTTAATGTATTATCTTCTACCGGTTGGATTTTATTATGTTTTTCACTTGATTAACATGAAGGTTTATTTTCATGGTTATTGAGCTGTAGTGCATGATAATTGAGGCTTGACAATATCCTTGACTAACTGCACATTGCCTTATGTCTTTTGTTGCTTACATTTTGCAGTTACACTGAAATGTAGAACATGGCAGTGCTTTATACTTTATGGGAAGCGATAAAGTAAATTTAATCATGTAGGTTTCAAATGACTGAATTGCTCCCAAAAGATTTAATACGGTAGAGCTTTTATTGCTGAAATCCAGGAAAATGGCTAAATACACAGCTGAAATACATACACTATATTGGCAAAAAGTATTGGGACACCCCTCCAAATCATTGGATTCAGGTGTTCCAATTACCTCCATGGCCACAGCTGTAAAATCGAGCACCTAGGCATGCAGACTGCTTCTACAAACATTTGTGAAAGAATGGGGCGCTCTCAGGAGCTCGGTGAACTCGAGCAGGTTGCCACCTGTGCAATAAGTCCATCCGTGAAATTTCCTTGCTACTAAATATTCCATGGTCAAATGTTAGTATTATAACAAAGTGGGAACAGCAACTCAGCCACAAAGTGGTAGGCCATGTAAAATGACACAGCGGGAAGTTGCCAACTGTCTGCAGAGTCAATAGCTACAGACCTCCAAACTTCATGTGACCTTCAGTTTGGCACAACAGTGCATAGAGAGCTTCATGGAATGGGTTTCCATGGCCGAGCAGCTGCATCCAAGCCTTACATCACCAAGTGCAATGCAAAGCGTCGGATGCAAGTGCAATGTAAATCCCTCTGCTACTGCACTCGAAGTGGAGACGTTCTCTGCAGTGTCAAATCGTGCTTTTCTGTCTGGCAATCTGAAGGATGTATCAGGGTTTGGCGGTTGCCATGAGAACAGTACTTGCCTGACTGCATTGTGCCAAGTGTAAAGTTTGGTGGAGGGGGGATTATGGTGTGGGGTGGTTTTTCAGGGGTTGGGCATGGCCCCTTAGTTCCATTGAAGGGAACTCTTAACGCATCAGCATACCAAGACATTTTGGACAATTTCATGCTCCCAACTTTGTGGGAACAGTTTGGGGATGGCCCCTTCCTGCTCCAACATGGCTGTGCACAAAGCAGGTTCCATAAAGGCATGGATGAGCGAGTTTGTGGTGGAGGAACTTGACTGTCCTGCACGGAGTTCTGACTTCAACCCAATAGCACACCTTTGGGATGAATTGAAGCGGAGACTGCAAGCCAGGCCTTCTCATCTAACATCAGTACCTGACCTCACAAATGTGCTTCTGGAAGAATGGTCAAACATTCCCATAAACACAATCCCAAACTTTATGGACAACCTTAACAGAAGAGTTGAAGCTGTTTTAACTGCAAAGGGTGGGCCAACTCAATATTAAACCCTACGGACTAAGACTGGGATGCCATTACAGTTCATGTGTGTGCAAAGGTCAGGCGTCCCAATACTTTTGGCAATACAGTGTATATGGGCACTTAAATGGACACTAAGCCCTGGAGTTGAATCTTTAAAACATGCATTCAAGTAACCTATTAACAAAAATGTAGTTTGTGTACACTGTCCTTCCTTCTGGAGCATGGCTACTTTTGTTCCCCATGGTCCATGTGTGTGAAAATGTAGCCACCTTTCCAACCTCGTTCCCTTAATAGACTATATCTTTAATGCAAATTAGCTAACTAAGGCTAGGTTCACTCCTAGGCGATTGAGTGGTTTTCGCACTGTTAAATTTGCGTTACTGTTTGAAAACTGCGTGGTTTTCAATGCATAGAGGTGTCTGTGGGACCCAAACCGTGTGAGAACCACCCGAAAATAGCTCCTGTACCTTTTTGCGCAACAAACTGCAAAGGTGTGAGCAGCCTCCATTGACTTCAATGCGAATCTGTGTTTTGTGCGATATTGCGCACAACTCCATCTTCGTGGTAAATTGCCTAGGTGTGACCCTAGCCTAAACGATTCAGGTCGGTGACCTGACCTCTCTATGCTGCAATAAGGAAAGATCACATAAAGGAGCAGCAGCTCGCCCCATTGTACTTTCGCTCCTCCCTGTTAGCGTGTTCCTTGTCAGCACATTTGCATGTAGCAGAGCTTGAATGCTTCTGTACAGGGGATTGTACAGCCGATGCCAGTTAAATATCAGCTACAGTAGCTGCATTTATAAATCAATTAATGAATTCGTAGTTGCTTTGCATTGGTCTTTTCCTGCCTAAAGATCAGCTTTAATCTGTGGTTGTGGGATATCCCAGACATCCATTCATTCGACAACTACTGCTCTAGAAATCTTTTACAATTTATCCCTCTAGTTTAGTGATGCAACCAACTAATCGATGATAGATTTATGAGAATAGTTGTCAACTATTCTTATCGAGTAGTCAGTTGGATCCCCTAGCTAGCTTCTCCATGCTGGGGGGAGGACACAGCAAGCAGTGGGTGAATAGCCAGCCTGCTATTGGTTATTGCAATTTTAAACGGCCAATAGCAGGCTGGCTGTTGCCCCAGCCCACTACCTACTGTATTTTACATTGAACTGCCGCCTGCAGAATCTTGCCACTGTCAGCCAGACTGAAGCTGTTCAAGCGCCATGTGCTTACAATGCACCCACCTACAACCTAACAACTGAACCATCCCGTTCTAAAACAATTCATCCTCACAGCTACCTCCTTATGTATCACTTCTCCCTCCCTTTCAGGGCCCTCACCATCTTGTCTTGAATTTTATTGATTGTAATGTCTTCCTTATATTGTAAAGCGCTGCGCAAACTGTTGGCGCTATATAAATCCTGTATAATATAATGCTATCATTTAAGAAAAATTATAACAGGTGGGAAGTAATTTTCAGTTTCGGCCTGACACATTCTGCTCCAGGAGGTGCTTTGCAGTGCCATTCATTTCAATGATGCCCCAAACGCGCCTTCCACTCAGTGTGATTGGCCGCACTGTTACTCATATTAAGTCTGATGGTCCCCGAAATGTTGCATTTTTGATGTGACAATATGCGTGAAACAACGCATTATTTTGGACATCATCCATTTCTGTGCCGGTGACATTTCTGATGTACATTGCCCTCACTAGAACGCACGGTACTGCATTGCTGTGCGTTCCAGTGCAGTGCGATTGCAAAAAATTGTGCATGCAGTTCTATTCTGAAATAAACTAATTAAAACTCCATTTGTGGATGCTATTTTAAATTAAAGCTGGTGGTTTTTTTTTTTTTTTTTTTAATGCAATCGAAAAAATTAATTGACCAACTAATGGATTATGAAAGTAATCATTAGTTGCAGCCCTACTCTAGTTTGTACTTGAAAATTGCAATTGAAAATATTGAAATTAGATTTTGTTTAGTGTTTGACTTTCTGAATTTGTGGACATATCAGCCTTCTATATTTCCAAAACATTTTGCAAATCTCAGTTTTCCAGTGTAATTGCATTTAAGAGGTTATCTCTAATCCTGGCATTTTTTTTTCTTCTCTTGTGTAATTTTCCAAATAAACATGAGCTTTGCAAAAGGTTTAGGCTTCCACATGCAATCTATCTTGGGTAATACGCTTGATATCGCTGGCAGCCAGCTGCAAGGAAAGCTGGCTTCCCGAAATGAATTGCTACAGGATCCTGTTATGTAGTTGTTTTTCAGTCACCTGTGGGTTGTAGTAATATGATAACGAAGATCACAGATGCGTTTAAAAGCAAGCCATGTGTTCTTTTGA